CTGGTTGCTATCCAGCTTTAATTTGCATGTGTAGCAGGGTCTACCCTGTGGCTGCGAGCCCCATCAGCTGACGGGGCTCCAAGCCTCAGGGGTACATCATGTCCAAGCTAAATATCTCAAGCCCTAGGGATCCTGGCAGCTGTGATTCCCCAGGGTCTAGAGGGGTCTCAGTTTCCTGTTTCTAGAATTCCAGATTTTACATAGATTTTATTTTTCCACAAAGAAATTTCAAACTTAACCCACTCATCCATGTTGAAGAAAAGTGCAAGGCCTTGTTAGCATCCTGAGAATACAAACTCAAATGAAAAAGTAAGCAAATAGCTTGTGGAACCACCCCCTTCATTTTATACATTGCACTTCTATTAAAAAAGAAAGCTGAAGTTTTTCCACAGACTGCACTTCCTCATCAAACTATGCAGATTTATGACTCAGCTTATTTTAGAAATCCTGTACTTAGGTGCCTAAATACGCAGTTAGAATTCTAATTATCGGTCACAAAATAATTTTTCATGTATTGAAAAATCTCAGTAGTTTTTTATTGTTAACACTGAACAAGGTTTTGTTTTAGTGATGATATGCCCAAAGATAAATTGGTAAATAAAAATAGTTTGAAGTTTCAAATGGTTACTCGCATGTAATTTAAAGCAAAAATTTTACTTTACTTTATTCCCATGAGTAAAGTTACTTACCTGCTGAAGTGTTTATTTGTAGAATCAGGGTCTCTACTAATTCAATATTTGATTTTTATCTATAGCAGTTTTGAAAAATTCAGAAAAAATACCTTAGTATCATTTGAGAAGTATAAACTGGTATTTAATAAATTTAAGTTGTAATAATTCATATTTCAAATTAGTTTTATAGGCCTTCAGCCTGCTTTTGAAATTTTTTTTAAAAATAAAGTGACTTCTAAATCATGAGTGACAATTTACATTGTTATATACTCTGTTTGGAACTAAGTGTTCATTGCCTCAAAAAATCCTATATTACTAACAGGGCATTAGTGATGTGGCTGCTTCATTTTGATAATTCACATCTCATTTTAGTTCTATAACCAGGAAGAAAACTCTCTCCAATATTTGTTTATGTATATTGTTGCCTTTCTAATTTTAAAAATTACATGTTTGAAAAAGCTGTGTATCATATTTTTAGTTATGGCTCTAATAGCACTCCCTTTTAGTTTGTGTAGGATTGAAATTAGTTGGTATTTTTAGAAAATGCAGTGGTCTGTGTTGGTGATGAAAATGATACGTTGTCATGGTGACTGAAAACCTAATTCACTGATTAACAACAGACCCTCCATTAATACTAGTTGTTGAAAAAATTCTCTTGTTGCTGCTGTTCACAACTTTAAAATACCTATTTTATCTCAACTTGTTTTAACTCAAGTTTTACAATTGATTTATATGAGCCAATTTGTTTCTGTGCTCTCTATGTTCTCAGTGGGGGCGGACGACAACAAGGAGCAATGGTCTCAGATTGTAGCAAGGGAAATTTAGGTAGATATTAGGAAAAAACTTTCTCACTAAAAGGGCCATGCCCACTCTGGCCTTCAGGGCCAAAAGGTTGAACACTACTGCCTTAGAATAAAAAGGACAAGACTTATTGCAATATTTGGAGGTCTACGCAAGCCATGGGATCAGTTGGGCCAGCCTGGTTAGGTTGTCCAGTTTGTAACCAGGATCAAACAAGAGTGTGATGTGGCTACCATCACATCCAGCTCCCTTGCCCAAATAAGTAGGTACCCATTTTACAGCTGGGCTGACTTTCAGCATGTATTTTAGATTGAGGCTTAGACTCTTGCTTCAGGAGTAAGACATTTTAACCACACTGACTCACATGCAGTAATATTGTTAATCAGAAACAAGCCACAGCAAGTCCTGGATCTCTGACCAGTGTAATTTCCCACCTGTTTTATTTGATTCAGGCTGTAAGATGGGGGAAAAAAATTGGTGGCTAAGTGTCTTTACAGTACACCAGCTGAGGGAAAGTCAATCATATTGACTACCTTGAGTGGAGCATTGCCATACACTGTATAATCACATATGATTCTTCTTTTTTTTTTT